ATACTACCCTATAGTAGTACCTACGCAGTTATATTAACGAGAATCCTAAGGATTGGGTCAATCTCCTATAGCCTATAGAATTCGTATACAATAATAGTATACACTTATTAACTAAGGTTTTACTATATATAGCTATAATAGGTTAAAACGCCGCGTTGCTATAAGATCTATTTACCTCGCTCGAGGCCGAGCGTAAGAAAAGGGAAGCGCGTTAAGTACTAGAGACACTAGCGGCAATAGAACGTGTCTAGAAGATACGAGAAATCTATACTAAGATAGCTAAGAAGTTAATAAAGGCTTAAGAATACTAAAAGGCCTACTACGATAAGCGTTATATACTAATAACCTTTAAACAAGGCGATATAGTTATACTTAGTACTAAGAACCTCCGCATCCGCAAACACCTATCGCCTAATAGTAAAACAAGGCCTAAGCTCGCACTAAGATACATTAGCCTATTTCGTATCCGAGAACCGAAGGGCAATAGCTAGGCCTACTAGTTATAGCTTCTACCCTATTATACTATCTATAACACCTTCTATATCTCCCTCCTTAAACTATACTACTAGCGCGAAAGCGATAAAGCGCCTGCTAAGTTAGAAGAAGTCTTAGCTAATAGTAAAGAGCTGTAGTCTGTAGAACGTATCCTAAAGCATCGGACTAGGTAGGGCAAGAAGGAGTACCTATTAAGATAGCAAGGCTATCTACCTAAATAGGACTTATAGGAAGCTAAAGCCTCTTTTAAAGAAATAACTAAGTTGTTAGATAAGTATTAGACTAGCGTAAAGAACAAGAAGAAGGCTAAAAGCTCGTAATGTTACTAAGGCCTAGAACTAATACTACCCCCGGGGTACTATTAGCTAACTAATTAGAGGCCAGCAAACTAGGACAATAAGACTATACTACTATAGTAAACGCGTACCGAGTATCAACAAACGCGCTATAATGCGTTAACTAATCGCCTGCTCTTTTAAGGACTCTACCTCTTTACTAACGCCCCCTATAGGTCCCCCTCTTATTCCTTTATTCTATCGAGGCCTCGAGGCCTAGGCAATCGGCGAGAGCGGCGCGGCCGGCGCGGCTATATTAGTAACGGTATTGCGGAGTATATTATTAGTTAAAGAAGAAGATTAGAAGCGAGGTAAAGTTAGCGCTAAGACGACTAGCGCCGCTATTATTAATATTACTTGCTATTGTCGCTATACTTGCGAAGACAACCTTACCTATACTACGGCCTAAGGCCGGAAACGCGCTATACTAATTAAGTTAAAAGAATAGCTATATTAAAGGTTTAATTAAAACTTTAAGGCTAAGTTAAAACTTTAAGCCGCTTAAAAGATTAAGCGACTAATAGACTAACTAAGGGCAAAAACTATAGAGCTAAGCTAGCCGGGGTCGATCTTGCGGATAATAGGTTACTCCTCGATCTATCTAACCCTTTAAGCGAGGCGAACCTCTACTACTACACTTACAATAGCCTTTACCTATAGAAACTAGACGAGCTATGTTTTTTAAAAGATAAGATAAGATTAGCAATTAAAGGCTACTAAACCTAACTAATTAGGGCTAGCGAAACTACGAACAATAATAGCCCTCGTAATAACAAGAATAAACCCTCGGAAGCGGACAACCCTCGGAAGCGGATATAGCTAGGTCTTTTAAGAGTAGACGTAAAGAACTCGGTACGACATTCCTTAGAGCGGAGGCAGTACTGCAATACCCCGTATACCTACCTATTATAGTAGGGAAGGTACGCTCGTATTGTAATTAGTCGATAGTCCTTAATTCTTATCCGAGCGAAGCGATGTAAACAGGCATAAGCCGGAGCATTCGAGGAGCTTACGACGAGGATACGGAGGTGTTGTCTAGTTACGAGCTAAGCGGAATAATAGTTAGAAGTTAGTAGAATTACGTGCGAGGTGTTCGCCGGGGGTTTAATTTAAAGATGCGCTTATACAAATCTAGCTAGGCCTCTAATTGGAAGAAATTAAAAGGAAGTATTGGCCTAATAAATCTGTTAAGTGCCTAACAGCAGCCGGGGGCCGGTATAGAGGGTAGGAAGGTAGGAGGTAGGCAGGAAGGCAGGAGGCAGGCAGGAGGGCAGGAGGCAGGCAGGCACGCAAGAGGCAAACTAGCAGGCACTCCCAACTTCAGGACTGTTATTCCGCTTAGCTATCGCTTCGCTCGGCCACCTTAGGCAGTACCTGCCTATACGGTACTTTATAGCCTTATACCCCTTCACTTTATTATATATAAGGATAGCGTAGTTAGAGTTAGACATTGTATTATATTAGAGGTAAGGTTTAATATAGTTACATAATTAGGTAGTTAAGTATTTAATTTAGTGCGGGCTAAGTAGCTTATTAGACTTGCTAAGTTAGCGGCAATAGAGGTCGTAGAATATAGATAGGCTACGAGGGCGCGGCCTTTAGAAGGGAAGCGTATATTAGAGGCTATACGTAATTAGTATATAACTAGCTCGAGTGAAGCTAGGGTCTTAGTGCCTTAGGCAGGGCTTAGCGCTTAGCGTTAGGCTAACTAGCCTGCCTTCCTCCTTCTCCTCCTAGTTCTCTATCGAATACTACCTATACCTACTACTACCCTATCTACCTACTAATATACCCTTCTTACATAGGTAGTGTCTTAGAATATAGTAGCAAGGTAGGTACTGCTAAAACTATAGTAGGCAATTATAGTAAGAAGGTTGTTATCCGTCGCGATATAGTACAAGGCCTTTATATAGCGGCAATGCCTTAGCCTCGTATTCTTCCGCAATAGCGAGTTGTTTCCTAACGAAGTCCTACGCTACTAGAGGGCTCAATTGCTTAAAATATAGCATCTCTTTAACCTTCTAGTATTGTATGCGTTTACTAAGTCTATAGCTTTATAGGTCCGCCTTATATAGTTATCGAGCGTCGATTGTTAGCAATTTAGTTATAGTACTATACATCGATAGCTAGGCGAGGTCCTTCTTCCGGTCGTATTTAATAGCATTATAGTATCCTTCTAGCGGCGAAGTAGTACGTATTTGTATAAGAACTAGGTTACGAAGACGTACCTAGGTTGCCTATTTCTATAACTTCTCTAATCCCTAGTTCTTCCGTAAATACTAAGCCTCTTCTGCTAGTCTATTTAGAAGCCTTAATTCTGCTTCTATTGTAGTAACAACCTCTTTAACCTCTGCCTTACTCCGAGCCTAGTAAATAGCTCTTTTAAATAGTCTCTAGACTATAGGGTACTTAAATTTAGGAAAGTAGCGAAGGAAGGTCTCTTTAGCGTATCGTTAGTAGAGATATAGTCGTATTTCCTCGCTTTAGAAGGATAGTCGAATAGCGGACTGCCCCTAAGCCGAGTCGTTAGTTATAGCTAATTTAGGCTCCTAACTCGGATACTACTTCTTTAGGACCTAAAAAGCAGCTTGCTAAAGCCTCGCTCTCTATAACTATAGCAATATATATACTACTAGTATCTAACTTTCGAAGCTATTACGGATATGCACTATAAAGAGATGCTAGCCTGTATTAGTAGTCTTATACGTTGCGTCGTATAGAAATAACTGATGCTAAATTAGTCGTTGCTTGCTAAAGCCTAGCTTTAGCTAAAGCCTATAGGGGTAGTTACGTAAGCGACTTATATCTCTAGTAAGACTACTACCTAACAACTCTCGCTATTAATCCGCTTGCTATACAATGCCCTTGTAAAGGCGTCCTTTAATCGTTACTAACACAGCTTTATACTATAACTAAGCGCCGTTTACTAGATTAGTTAATAGCGATAGCTCGTTATATAGGTTCTCGAGTTAGAGGGAGATATTGCCCTTCTTAGCAAAAGTCACCTTCTTCTTATCCTTCTTCTTCGACTATTTTATTATACCCTCCTTTATACGATAGCCTCTAATAACGGCAAAGCAGTTAGTATTACGACCTTCCTTTATTATATAGAATATACGAGCTGTATTATAGTCGTATTAGTCTATTAAGTGCTCGAGAACGATCTTTAAGCTATTACTAGTACCTCGTACGTCCTGCTAACTATTAGCTTCTATAGCTCGAATAGGCCTCCGCTATCGACTCGAGAGGCAACCCTACTAAACTTACTATATAATCTATCGAATAGTAATATAGCGAGCCTGCCTCGGTAGAAGGGTCGGGCGACGACGAAGCGACCTTATATATATACGGCTCTCTATAGTTCTTCGAGCGATATATAGCAATTACTACGTACGTCGTATTATATCCTTCCTTATAATACTCTACCTTCCGAATACTATCTAGCACCTCGCGTAGCCGATTAGCATCCTACCGATAACAATAATAGCATATTATCCGCTATATTAAGCTATCCTTATGCCTCTCCTATAGCTTCTAGTACTAGAAGTTGCTAGTAAATAGCTATACCTTATTATATTTATTAGCGTCTAAGAATAGGCTATTTAAGGGTAGATTAAAGAGCTAAGAACGCAGTAATATATCGAGATAAGAGGGGATTAGATAGGCTATTATAATAGTTAGAAAGAGCGTAGAAATTAGCCTACCTATATGCCTATAATAACACCTTATATATAGCTATATAGCTAATTTTTCGTCGATATAACGACTTCCTACTACGATATAAAGTCGGCGACTAATGGATCCTCGGCATGCCTGATTTGGCTAGCAAAAATGGCTATATCTCGATTCATTAATCGACTCTACCACTACCGAGTATATCCGTAAATGTAAGCAATCCACTACAACCCTTGCACGCTAAAAGTCTGCTACATCCAACACTATCTCACTACAGCCAATGTGACTGAGTCACGTCACATCACACGTACACACACACACAATAGTACTGTAGTGTAGTGTAGTGTAGTGTAGCATCCAGTCAATCAATCTTCCCTCTCGCCTATAACCGAATTTGGGCTGCAGAGATTGATTGGACTACATAGCAAGATCACCAAGCGACAGAAGTCCCAAATTATTGACACGCAAGAAATCCTGCAGCAGCAGCACTGGGTACAGTATTGCCATTGCCATTCGTTGCAATCTACTGTGTATACAGCATGTACAATAATTCCGTCCTCTCATGGCACCTGCACTGCACTGCCCAACGACGAAGATCAAAAAAGACCAAAAAAAAAAAAAAACTGAGATCTTCCTTCCTTTCTTGCCGTGAGGCAGTCCCCTAAAAACAAAATCTTTGCCGATGACGAGTGCCTGTCCCTGTCCTAGAACAAAAAAAAAAAGAAGAAGAAACCGAAATAACATCGAGAAGACGCTCGCTAATGATGATGATGATGATGATGATGATGTACAGTGAGTGTATCCACTCCATGAATCAAGACAAAAGATATATGCATATGCTGAAAAAAAAGGAGAAAAGAAGTACGCACACGCACACGCATGCGCCATCGCTCGCTCGCTCGCTCGCTCGCAATGCCAAAAAGATACAGAAAAAAAAAGAACATTTCGCTAATTACAAACAAATCTCACCAAAAAAAAAATTGGATGCCTGATTTAAAAAAAATGCTGTAGATTGTTGATTGTTGGTAATGCTGATTTGATCTTGATATCCAGAAAGGCAAGAATCGTAGTCGTTAGATACCTGATCTTTCGAGATGTTTGGTTTGTGTTTCATCCATCCTCATTCATGAGCCATGCATTCATATTCCATCAAGGCATAGATAGAATAATGCATTCAGTAAGAATGAGTTTTCATGTTGTTTCGAACCGATCCGAGAGTTTTCCAGTCATCACAAGAATCCTCCATCTCGTGGATTGACTCCATGCTGGATTTGGTTTGGGGGCATATTCGCTCTGATCTCTTTGGGGTTCCTGTACCCACTGACGCTCCCACTCCTGCTGCCAGGTAGGCTACTTGGCGGGACTGCAGTCTCGTTGATTCTTTCGGTAGAAGGACTCACAGCTTGACCTGCCATTGCCTGTTCGTAGGGACTTTGAGCACGGTGAGTGACGTTCAAGCTTCCGGCCCGTTTGTGACCGTGAGAAGAAGGTGGGCCAGGAATGGACTCATAAGGCGCTGGACCGCCCGGCTGTGCGGACTTGGGATGGTAGTCGTACCCAGTCTTCACGCTTTCGTAAGGGGCTGGACGCCATGAGGTATCAAGTGGTGGAGACTTGGTACGGTTCTTGGAGGAGCTGCGCATCCGCTCGCCAAAATTACGCATCCGGGAGCTGAAGCCGTCACCAGAAGGTGCGTTGCGGCGGTGGGATGTGGGACTGGCGGTTACTGATCGTGGTTGGTCTCGTGCCATTGGTGCAGGCAGTGTTGGTCCAGAAGACTCCATGGCACTGCTTGGGGCGTTCTCGTCGATGGCGATATTGATCATGCCGGAAGAGTTGTTTGCTTGATGACCTGGGAAGACTGGAGGAGGTGGAGGTGGAGGTGGAATGTTCAAGTGCTGCAGCTCGGGGAGCATCGGAGGTGCGAGTTCGGGCATTTCTGGGATGATGATGACATTCGAAGTATCACTGCCTCCAATCAAGGCAGCGTCGATGCTACTCATGGATTCGCCTCCTTCCGAGGAGTTGAGGCCATCAGGTGGCGAGATCTTGCGAACATTCGATAGACGTCTGGTAGAAGGTATGCCAGCCCGATAGAGAGGGTGAGCTGCCTGTTGCTGCTCAGGTGGTGCGGTTGCAGCTCGTGTTAGGGGTCCTTTCTGGCCATAGACGGACGATGGCAGGAGAGGCCCGATGGAGTCGCTGCTTTCAGACACAAACGACCTTGATTCGCCAGAGGAAAATATCTTCTGTTGATCGGAAGAGGTCATGACCGAAGACGCTTGACTAAGCTCTGAGTTTGTGACCTGGCTCAAGCTGCTTCCTGACAGCGAGCCTAGATCAGAAAACTTGTCTGGGATGAACGGCACAGGAGGAGCTGCATCACGTTCATTGGGATCAGTGCTCATATAACGCGGGTGGCGCATAGCCCTTGGAGTAGCAGGAAGGCCAATAGGAGCTGAGGGTGTCGAAGTGCCCGTGATCTTGCTCTGTTGATTGTATTTGAGCATCGCATCAGGATCCACCGTGTGACTCCTCGACATAGGTGGCATGTACGACGTCGGGCTGTCACCAAGCTCAGTGTGTGATCGCGGAAGTCCTGGTCGATTGTTGATTGAAGTGAGATGCTCGGGCAGAGGAATGGCTGGCGCTGATGGTCGTCTGGCAAGCGAGCGGCGGCGATCCTCGAGCTCTTTGGCTGCCAGCTCCTTCCTGCTCAAAGTTCTCGGTCTCGAATTCCCAACAGAGGAGTCGGTGTTCTGAGATGTCCGGGAAGCCTGCTCTTCTGGTACAATGTCGGTGACTTCGGACTCGGCAATCGTCGGAATTTCTGGCTTCGGCCTGCGACTGGACGATCTGGCACGACTGGCTTGTCGACGGCTTTGTAAGTCAATCTGAGCCTGTCGGCTTGCACTCTGAGATCGCATGCGAAAGCGTTGTTGGCCATCGCTTTGCGTCTCCTCCTTGTCGCCTCCATAAGCTTTCGCCGAAAGCACGGGAAGAGGCGACGATGGAGATCGCGTGGATGAACCTGCGACTCGGTTTGCACTGCGGCCTCGGCCACGTTCTTCGGTCTCCTCCTCCTCCGTTCGCGGTGGGCTGTGCGGCCGGGTGGATGCTCTGCCAGAAGAGCGCAGAGGCGGAGGTACCGCATCTGCGACGTTGCCGAGAGAGTCATGTCGAGTGGAGTCTCGTCCGCTTCTGTGGGATCCGGTGGGCGATAGTGCGGCTTTGTAAAAGTTCTCGTCGTCAGTGGTGGCTGGCTCGATCTCCTTGGCCTTGTTCGTAGCCTGTGCAATCTCCTCGGGAGACATTGGCACAGGCGAAGAAGGCGAGCGTTTTGCAGGCGGGATGTAGCGAGGCACACCTCGTCCCCGGTTCTCAGAAGCATCCCGCATACGGCTGGAGGTGCGTCCGGAACGGCTTTCCGCACGTCGCTTGCTCTCGCCACGCCTTCGACTGTCTGCCCGTTCATTGCGACGCGCGATTCTCGCTTCTTCGACACTGTTGATCTTGTCGTCAGTCGATCGACCTTTGGTGCTTGCTTTCGAGCTTCCGCCGGTCAGAGGCGGACTGAGAGTCCCGGCTTGTAAAGCTCCGCCAGGCGAAATGACAGCATCCGCAGTCATAGGCGAACGTGTCTCAGCATACACAGTATCCATGACTTGTACGGCAAGATAGTCTGGCTTTCTTTCGCGAGAGGAGTTTCGCTGTCGAGACTCCTCGCGCAGTCTTGTAAAGACACCTTTGGCCGGAGAGGGTAAGTGCTCAGCAGCGTCGCCAAAAGCTCGCGGAGTAAGTTTCTCTGCGTCGTAGACAGCGGGCCGTAGAGCAGTCGTGGGATCCGGCAGGCTAGCGCTGCTTACAGAGGATGTCCGTCTGCTGCTTGTCCTACTTTGTGTCGTTTGGGTGGCAAAGTCGCGAGCTGCTGTTAGAGGCGTTGCCATTTCAGCAGCTTCTTGCTTCGCTCTCTCAATGTCAGTCCGAGACGGTAAACGCTTCCTCCGCATGCCTCCAGGTGTAGCTGTCCGGGCAGACGTGGCATCTCGAGTCATGCGACCGTCACGCCGTCGCCACGGATCCAGGCCTCCAGGAGACATTGGGTAAGCAGAGTGTTGGATTGGAGTGACGCCTGCGGTTACAGTTCCTGGGTCGACGACCGTGAGTGGATCTCCTCCAGCACCAGTCTGGAGTGGCACGCCTTTGTCTCCGAAGGTGGTGATCAATTTGAGGGAAGCATTTTTGGTGGTCAACCGGGCAGAGCCAGAGCCAGAGCGCGAGGGAATCGACACAGGGCTGGAAAGATCCACAGCGCTCTGAGGCTCTCGTGCCTGTTGCGCCGCGAACACCTCATGTTGCGCTCGTGGAGAAGTCCACGGCTCTGAAGTCTGAATGCTCGTGCATGAGAAACAGCGTACGGCAAGTTCGGCCTCTCCATTCATCACTGCGTTCTCGCCCCACTTCCTGAGCAAGTGCGATATCCGGCCCCAGTCGTTCGGACATGCCAGGCAGGTCAGGAGGACAGCCTCCATGAAGTAAGCTTGGGACACATACACCTCGATTGCGTCGTTGTATTCGCCGAGTCCGAGAAGGATTGCCACCGCGGGATGAATATCGCCCTTCTCCAGCAAGCGTTGTACGAACGCCTCGCCGACTTTCCTTTTGGAGTCCGATCCAATGGAGCTTAACGCAAGCAGCATCCAGTCCGAGGAGGTCATTGATTCCGAGCCGACAAGAGAAGCCATCTCGTCGGCACCAATGTCACCCAGCCATTTCGATAGCAGCACAGCACTGGCTGAGCCAGGCCGCTGCCTCGCCAATTCTTCGTGAATCAGGCTGCGAGCGTCATCATTCCAGCCGAATACAACACTCAACATTTCTCGCTGCAAAAGGTCTGGAGTGCGAGCAACTTCTCCGTAATGAGGAGTTCTGAACGCCACTTCTCGAAGCCGGGCTTTCGTGAATGGGAAGAGCTCCATCAGCTGTGTCTCCTCCGTTTCCTCCGGACTCCGCAGTACTTCTCTGCGCAAATTAGACGACCGACGGCCATGATGTGTCCCTGATGTGTAGGATGCGCTAGATCTTATTGACATGCTCTCGCGGCCCAGCTGAGATGGTCCTCCAAAAGAGAACTCCGTGCCTTCGTGGCCAGAATTGGTCGATGCGCGAGAAGAGTCTGGCTTGTCATACAAATATTTCCGTTGCCTGCGCGAAGGCTTCCCGGAACTTCGTGAGCTGACAGATCCGCCGTGACTTGATGGGCTGAGCGGCATGACCTTGTCGCGAATCTCAGATTCCATGGCATCGAGCGAGTCCATCTCCAGCGCGATCCTTTGCAAAGGTGACATGGTTGCTCCCTCGTCGGCACTGCTTTCGCCATCGGTAAACACCACAGGTAGACTGATTTGACCTTCTGTAATTGCATTCTTCGTCCTCTCATTCAAAAGGTCCGTCGGAGGCGTAGGAGGAGTATTGGCGGGCGCATGCTGCGCTGTTGCTACTTGCAGCGGGCTTGTGTTCGGGTTGATGTCGTATTGTTGAACCGTGTGATTTCGCCCCAAGGTGAACAAAGTTGCTGTTGGTCCATAGTTGGCCATTCCCACAACGCCCTGAATCGTTGGAATGATATCGTAAGTGACCTTTTTGGTACGAACGTCCCACGCTCTGGTTTCCCTGCCCCGTAAATTTTAGCACTGATCTCAATCGGTCATGGGCTTGATTGTCTGTACGAAGCAGAGCACTCACCCATCCGCAAGTTGTATTAAGCGTCCGTTCTTCGACCAAGCAAACCAACAAGGACCTGCCAACTGCGATTCCGGCCTCTGCAGCACGCGAATGATGGTCGGTGCAGCTCCATGATCTCCTTTCGGAACACTCCACACTCGCAAATCCCCATCTTGGGCTTGAGTCGCAAGCATATCAGTCTGCTGCTTTGACGAAGATCCATGCCATGCAAGACCACTGATCTTTGACGGTGCTCTAGTGGTGTTCAGGGTGTGTAGAATGGTGAAGGAAGGTTGGAGGGTTGCAATCAGGATCGATCCATTGAAATAACCCATCGCGAAAGTCCTGCAGTCGGCAGAGGGAGCTATTGCGGTAATGGGGTCGAAAATTGTTCTCGCAGAAATGTGTTCCGATGTGGATGGTTCGAAGAGGATCACGTTTCCCTGGTCATTTCCTAGAGACAGTCAGCATGTTTGCTTGCAGATTCCGGGCATGTTCCTACCAAATGCGATATTGCCGTTGCGCATGAAAGACGCAACTCTCATGTGCTCGTATGCGGAAAAGCGCGCGACCTCGACGCCGGTGAGGATATCCCAAACGATCGCCGTCTTCCCTGCATCAAAGCTCACAGCCAATCTTCCGGAACCTCGTTCGCTGACATTGTCCACTGCTATCCACAGCACATCTTCCCGGTGCAAATCGAATCGTCGTTCGATGGACAGAGTGTCGTGATGAAGCACGAGGATGACATTTCGCTGTGCGTAGAGTAGGAATGAGGCAGTTGCGGCGCATGGTTCAAGGTCACTGCCTTGGCCTTCGGGGGTCAATGTTGCCGGAGGAGGAGTCTGGCTTGGTTGTGTTTGTCGATACGAGGCCGGATTCGACGCCGACGAAGACCTTCCAGACTTTGATCTTGTGTCTGAAGCTCTTCGGGATGACATGTTCGATTGCTGTAGCGGGTGGGTTAGTGTGGGTTCGAGGTGTAATGGTGGCCATGAGGGCAGCCAGATGGTGTCCAGGGCGGTCTGTTCGCCAACCCAGCCGTGACCGGACGTGAAACACTTGTATCTTCGGGAAGAGTAGAAGCAACCTACCCGGACATGCGCGCTCAATCAACGAAGTCACACCTTGTGTATCGCCCGAAGCGCGGAGAGGCCAGAGTCTTCCCAGCGGGGGTGTGTGCGTGCAGGTGCAGTACAGAATGCATGCAGCCGCGCTGGTCGTCGGGTCTGGAAGGGGTACAGAGTGAGTGGCAGAAGTGCAGCTGAGTGCAGAAGCAAGCAGAAGGGAGGGGAGAACAGGTCTCGACACAACGGGCAATCAGATGGCAGCGAAGAAGCGGTTAGACGAGCAGTGAAGAGCAGAAAGAGACGCGATGCCCTACCATTCGTCCAGCGATAATGTTAGAATACAGCACCATTGGACGCGCCTCGACAGCACGCTGCACGTCTGCTGCTGAACGCTGTCTGTCGTATGGAGGTCACTGCATGTGCGGGCGGCGCCGGGGTCCATACCGTGCTCGGCCGCGCTGATTGGCTGCACGCTGCAACGCTGGCGCGCCACATTCACACCTAAACCCGCCATCCAGCGGCTACATCGATATGCCGACGTCGACGGCGACAAGGCGATTGTTGTCTGGTATAGGAGCGGAGATGCACACGCCCGGCCAGCGACGCCAGCGACGCCATCGTGCTCGTGCCGCACTCCATTCACCACACTCCGCCCGCAACTCCCACACCACCCTCCCACGTGCAGTGCGTTTGCGACGACCGTACTTCCATCCCGAGGCGGTCAGCTCGCTCGGACCTGCTTGGTGCAACTTCACTGATTGCCATACCCATACCGAGCACTCGGTAGTCGATAGTCCTTGCATCGCGCTGCCAGGCCCACTGCACGCTGCGCTTCATCACCAGTCGCACGCGAGGCGGTCGGCATGCCCAGTCACACCATGCTATGGTCACGCTCTGCACCATCCGGCCTCGTGCTGCCGATACTTCCTGACAGCGTTGCAGCAGTTCATGCCGTGCAACGCCAACCAGAGAATGCTTACCGTCGTCCCAGGCCGGGATTTGGTATTCGTCCATTGCCTATATTATATTCGTCCATTGCTATAGATCATACTTCCGGTTTCGATTAGCAGTACGCACTGACCTCTCGCTATATAAAACGCTATACAAAAGCGGCCTCCGCTGCTTGGTATAGAACCTAACGTATATAGTAATAATTATAGTTAGGTAGGAGGGTATTCTCGAGCCCGCTAGTTACGTAGATATTAATATAGACTCGTAGACTTCAATTAAACTGTATTCTAGTACTAATTGCCTTAACCTGTATAGTAATACTGTCGTAGATATAACCGTAGCTCTTACTACGGTATAAACTAACTTCTATACTGCTATTACTATTGCTACTATTACTATTACTAAGTAAATACCTATTAATTAGATAGTAGTAGAGCGCCTCTAAATACAGTCGGTTAAGTCGCTACTAGCGGACCTGCTAGTGCTAGTCTTAGCAGTAGTTGTTAAGTACTATAGAACTAGACAAATTAGTAGTATTACTTAGCCGGCTATGTTATAGCCGGTGCGTATAAGGCCCTTCTAAGTGCTATAGCGGCTCGTTGAATACTAGCTAGATTGTTACTAATAAACTAGTGTCGCTTAGTAGGTATATAGACTCGAGGTTGTTGCGTAGAGGCTCTCGCTCTACTACGGCTACGGCTACGGCTACGGCTACGAGTAGATTGAGAAGCCGCGTTATTTAGGTCGTTATATTCGAAGCTAGAAGGGTCTCGTATATTTATACGCCTAGCACGGCCGCTATTGCTACGGCCGCTATTGCTACTACGAGCTCTGCGATTATTAGGTATTATAGTGAAGTCTCGAGTCTATATAACTTCTATAATACGAGCTAGTAGTGCTATAGACTTATCGATATACTAGTGCCTATCGAAGTCCGAAGGGGTCTAGTAGAAGAAGCCTATTTCTATTATCTTATCCCTTACAGTATATTTGCAGGTAATCCCCTAAGCGTACTTATAACGGCCTGTATACCGAGACCGTAGCTTATTAGGCTCCTTAGTAAGCTCTTTAATCTTATCGAGTGTATACTATTGTTACTTGCCGGCCTTAATAATAGCCTAGCGATAGATCGTGCCGTTATACTAAGCAAACTCTAGTTTCTTATAGGATATTAGAATTTGAAGCCGGTCCTTGCTAATACGGTCCTTAATCTAAGAGGCTTTAATCTTGAACTACGGCTCCTATTAAATTGTTAGCAAAGCGGTATCTAAGTAAAGCTAGGTAGACGTCTACGTACGAGTTTAAGGAACAGGGTAAGCACGTTATACCGCCTACCTGCTAGCTATTTCTTTATTGTCGAATGAGCCCCTTCTACCCTCGAAGTAACGCGTTGTCTATAGAATAGAAAGACGTGCTGCTAAAAGCAGTAGGCAATCTTCTTCTTATAAGACTAGTATTTACGCTTAATATAGGTCTATAGGCTACGGAAGTGAGGGTTCTTATAGTTAGATAAGAAGGTGTTCTTCTTATCAAATTCAGCTACTATCTCGGCTTTAATACAGGTACGGAAAGCGGCTATAAACGACTCGCAATCGGCTTGATCTTCGTAGCGTAGAAAGGCACTAGTTTCGTCGTCGTAGATAGCTTATTGCGGTATTAATTTGCGGGCCTATAACTATACATTCTTGAATATATGCTAGGCGCAGATAAGTGCAGGTATTAATAAGTATACCTTGTCTAATGCGTTTATACAACTACGGTCTCGATTAGTAACCTATAGGCCTAGATCTAGTAGGTTATTAACGCGGCAGAGCTTCTTAAAGGCCTCAAACACCTATATAAAGCCGGCTTCGTCTTCTTTGCCTATAATCGCGTATCCTAATAGAATTGTAGTGCCGCCGCTGGTACCGCCGGAGATATTAAAAAGAGGTCGGTTATAGTAGTTAGTCTTATATATATTATCGCAGATAAGGTACTCCGGATATAGGGCGTAGAACCGTGCTATAAGTAGGTAGATTATAAGCAATTTGTCGATTTTGCCCTCGTTCCCCGGCGTTATATCTAGGTCCTAATCGTAGTAGTATCTACCTCTTTCTAGGAGCCGTAAAAGTGCATCTAAGGCCGATATATTACCCTACTAAACCCTCCGCGCTATCTTTCGAATGTTATAAATGTCCTATATCGTTTGTATGCCTATATATTATATGCTGTTAGAGTAAGAGTATAGAAGGAAGGGAAGAATGTAATAGTATACAGGTCGGCCGAGTCTCGGCCGGTAAGAATTTCTAATACTAGATAGACTTACAATCTTCCTTCTTCTATAGCCGCGCTAACGTCGATATAGCACTCGTATTCGCGCTTAAATCCTCTTCTATTATCTTTATTATCTTGTCCTTTATCGACTTACGCTAGCAGCGGCGATATATCGCGAAATCGGCGCTATTAAAGTCCTTGTAGCCTCCTTTATAGGTATACTAGTAGTGCGACTTATCGACCCTCTAACGGCTAAATAGGTTACAATAGTCGACCGCTTGTAACGATAGTAACTATAGATAGGCCTCCTTCTAACTAACAGTAGTAGGCCGCTTACTACTATTCTTAGAGCGATCCTTCTACCTTCCTTTACTAGCGCTATAGATACAGTATCTACTAATATAGATATTCGCTTCTCGAAACTCCGGCCTCTTCGAGTAGTTACCGCCTCGTAGAACGATAGTATAACTATAGGTCCGAGCCTACTTATTCGCTTTATTAAAAGCGACTTCTATCGACCTATAGGTCTCCTTCGGTAGATCGGATATCTAGTCGCTAGCATCGTTATTAATAGGCTCTTTAGTAGGCTCTTCGTCTACCTCTCTACCGACCGTTTCGTCTACCTTATTTTTACCGACTAGCTTAAAGAAGCTACTATTCTCGAAGGCCTTATATACCTCCGCGGCTATTTACGAGAACGATCTTTCCGCTAATTTAGCATTATTTACTGCCTCCTTATCGAGCTTAATCTTAGCTAGTTTCTCGGCATTTAAACTATCGAGATCTTATTCCTTAAAACCGCTATCTCTAGGTATATCGATATTTTTATTACCTTTATTACTATTCTCGAGATCTTAGAAGAAATCCGCGCTTTCTAGGTTACCTTATTCGTTTCTATAGTGCTGCCCTTCCGATAGTATTTATGCCTCGTATTCGGATTAAGAGGGGTCTATAATAATACCTTGTTTTAGTCTATATAGCTGTTTCTACGGCTTTATAAAGAGATATAGTATACTATAGAGATTCTACTAAATTACCGATGTAGGAGTGGGTCCCGGCAAGAGCCGCCAAATACACTGCTAAATGCGCTATTCCGGGGACAGCAACCCCCTTCGGTAGCAGCGAAGAATATAATATAGGCAATGGACGAATACCAAATCCCTCCCAGGCCCTGCGGCTCTGCCCAAAGCCTGCCGAGGCGACATCACGTGCGCCGTATTTCTCTCACCGCCGCCGCCGCCGCTGCTCGAAGGACGATGACCAATAGGATGGGAATAATATGTCACAGTGATGATGAGTATTCGATCATTCCATTGTTCGTTATCGCTAAAATCTCAATTCCCCATCGCGAGTCATCAAGAGCTTCACCTCTCACAGCATGCCTCTAAGCGCCGTGCTGGCAGAGCCGCTTCGGCTGATCTGCAGGCAGGCAGGCATGGCGCATGGGGCATGCAAACTTTCTGCATCCTGTCCTGCTCCTTATGGCATCACTTTTTGCACAACCCATCCAAATTCAGATGTCGATCATGGTATAAGCTGTGCGTCTCGCTTGTTGGATACATAGATCAACCACCAATCTCAGCACCGCGCTTACAGCCTCACCGACTTGGACCTCTCAAAAAGACTTCTCGACCGCTTGGCCATACTGTACCACCGCTGCTGAATCTTCTGCGCGAGAGCAGCGACGTGATGTGCATGCGGTTCGCAGATGTCATGCGCGGCTGGCTGTGACGGTGGCGTTCGTGTTTCTCGCTTCCAGGTGATGAGGCTGCCCTCTGCCGCCACAGCCAAATTCTAGAAGTTCTGCTTCGAGCCTGCATCACAAGTGCTACATTGCTGTGAGCACCAGATGCCATTTCATGTGCGCTGGCCATGCATTCCAGACCCTGTGTCCACCGACTGGATTCGTCTCTCTCTGTTCGTTCGAGTTTCTGGTTCTGGCTCCCTCGGTTAAATGAGTGTCGTCTGCACATTCCTCTCGACCATCAGGTACTTGTCGCTGCCAAAATGGTCCGTGCCGTTTTCCGGACCCAGCATGACACCACCGAACCCTGGTGTGTCTGGGCCAATGTATACTGCTGGTAGATGCCCAGTACAAGTCTTGTCCCATGTGTTGAAAAGGTAAATCGGTATCGATGCTAACGCTCGATATTGGGTATAATGTGGGGACAACAGGCCTCGCTGAAAAGCCAAAAAGGTCATTGGTGAAGTCAGTTCCGTCGGTATGTCTGACAACCATGCTCCAGGACTCTCGCTCACACTTGGTGCTTGATGCTGGCCGAAGAAGGGCCTCGCTTCTTTCTCGGCTCAGTGATGCACTTGCGTGGTTTGATTGGATTGACCGGAGGTAGCAGAGGACGTGCCATCCAAACTTCAGCCGACCGTGGTGGTGGCGGTGGTTCGCTGAGGTAGGCTTCATCGCTGTCACCAAAGAGATCCTCGTCGCTCACGTATGCGCTCGGCCTGGAGGGCTTCTTCAGATCTGATCCCGCTGGCCAGCTTGCGTACGCGCAAGAGGAGTATGGGTTGGAGAATGTCGAAGATGCCGTCGAGCTAAAACTGTCGCGGTGTGCAGACCCGTTTGACGATGATAGACTAGTGATTGTTCGACACGGAGATGTGGAAGGCGTCGAGCCTCGGCTCGATGCTGATGAGCACGACATTATTGGTTGTCGATGGTGTTGAGTTGTTGTTTGACGCGTTCACTTTCTGTAGAGTGGCGGTAGGCAGCAGGTATGGTAAGTGTTATGACTGCGCGTGCATACTAAAAATGGCAGGTCGCGTTGGCAGATAGGGCGGTATATGTAGTCGTATCGCGGTGTAGCAAGGGCGGTCAGGTCCGAAGAACAGCGAGGAATGACAAAGCCTTGTGATGTGTCAAGATGCATAGCACAGGTCGCACGCTCTGGAACAGGAGCCTATCTGATATATCAACATGACCGCCTTTTCTCTCAGCCGAGCGTACACACGCCGGATCAAGCTCGCGTCACCACGAACCGCGGAATCTTAGGTTGCTGAAGCGAAGCTTTGCGGACGTTCCCCGGGCAAAGGCAAAAAACGATGGAGCGAGCAGGGCCAAGCGTATGGTTCGGCGGCGGTGTCTAATAATGAAAGAAAGGATTACTGCTGCATGTCAGGAAATTTAGTGAGTTTTAGCTGAACCTAGAGCGGATTTAGCGACATAGTGTTTCACTAGTAACTACTAGGCAACAAGCTACTTACAATCCTCTAATTTAGTAGCGTTTAGAACTACCTAGTATTATAACGATTTAGGCTAGGAAGGGCGCCTCTTTCGAGCCTATTAGCTATTAGAAGTAGCTATTTTAACTATTATAGAAGCGGCTATTTTGCAGTAGAAGAGACTATTATAGAAGCGGCTATTTTATAGTAGAAGAGACTATTATATAGACTAAGATTAAATATACTATTATTATTATAGAATTGCTATTAAATTACTTTCTTCTATAACTATAGGTAAAGGCTTACCTTTACTAGTTACTATCTCTTTAGCCTCGTTATTATTATTATATATAACGTAGTCTCGTACGAGTTACTATTGCCTTACTAGTAGCTAGCTAGTAGTTACTATATATCCTTATACTTTTTATTTCTCGTCTAACTCGCCTATTACTAAGTAAGTTATTAGTACTAGCGTCGTCGTCCGAGTCGTCTACTATCTAGCTAGCTAATTACCTAGCGGCTCGCTCGCTAATATCGTCTTTTTCTATATAGTCTACTATTATCCTAATAAGGTCGTTATCTATATAATAGAAGATATAAAGCTTAAAGAAGGAAGAGAGGCCTTTATTAGCGAAGTAATAGTCGTCTATAGCGTAGCTATTAACCTCTTAAATACTATATATATAGACTTGTAATAGCTTACCCTAGTACTAGTAGTTAGCTACTAGTAAATAGCGAAGCCCTAGCGGCGTAGGTAGACTTTATACTATTATATCTCCTATTAGATCTACTTCTTTAACGTCGTCTATATCGAGCGATTATAAAGATATTAGGGCTAAAGAGGCTATACGTAATTAGTATATAACTAGACCGAGTAAAAATAGGGTCTTAGTACCTTAGGTAGGGCTTAGCGCTTAGCGTTAGGCTAACTAGCCTACCTTCCTCCTTCTCCTCCTAGATCCTTATCGAATACTACCTATACCTACTACTACCCTATCTACCTACTAATATAACCCTTCTTATATAGTATTCGATCTACCCTTTAAGGATAGTAGCTAGATAGTCCTTATTTTAAGCTTTTAGCGGTATAGCTACGAAAACTATCGATTTAACTATATTGCGCCTAAAGAACGGGACCTATACGTACTATTCTACTAAAACAACTGTACTAATTATTAAGCAAGGCCTTCTATACGGGCTATTATACTAAGTTAATTATATTAGGCCGATACCTACTAATTCCGCTATATCCGTACTATAAGGGGCTATAATATATTATTAGTATTACCCCTTATTATAATAGCCGGCTTATTACGAAGCAATAACAACCGCGGCGCCGCTAGTAGCGCTAGCAACGACAACGCTAGTAGTATAGTGCCTACTAAAGTGCCTACTAAAGCGCCTACTAGAGGCCCTACTAGAGAGCCTACTAAAGAACCTATAATCGAAGGGGATAACCTATCGTTGCCTGTTAACGATATTCTTAGCAATATTGTTAACCGCCGATATAGCTAGCTAGCCTTTAGGCCCTAGCTAATAGCGAGACTTTAAGAAGCTACCTAGAACAGGCTTACTACCTTACGCTAAGAATAATAGCTAAAGGATAACCTCCTCGAAATTTACCGCCTATAGGAAGCCCTAATAACTAGTACTAAGCCGATAGTAGGGCCTTCCTCGCTATCCGTCCTAATTTAGAAGAAGGATACTAAGCTTAAGGACTATACTATGTTTAATAGCTCTAGTCGAAAGCAATATAACGATTATATTCGTAACTATAAGCTTAACTAGCGCAATGTACTAAGGGCCCTTCTAGATAATTACTTATTAGTCGTTTACGCTATATAATACATTAATAGCGACCTAAAACGCACCTAGGACGACTATTTCGATTCCCTTACTAATTAGGCCGCTATTTAGTAGCAAACCTACAAAACTATTATACTAGACACCCTTAGAAACCCTATACTAAGGCAACAACACGCTTAGGACTAGTACCTTCGAGCTAAGCAAAAGACTAATTAATTAGCTCGCTTATTTAAGGCCTATTTAAAGACTCTCGAGGACGACCTTCTAGCTAAGACTAATTCTATATAGATCTTAGAGATACGCCCGAAACTTAGGTAGGAGCTTATCCTCGAATTAGACCGCCGCCGTATATTCGAATAGACTAATCTAACGCGCATTTAATTTATAGTCGAAGTAGAAACAGCCGAACGAGCTATTTAGCTCTAGTAACGGCTAGAATCGAGGATCCGACTAGCTAGTACTAACCGTAGCAACCGTAGCCGTAGAGGAAACTAAGGTTCCTACTAAAACAATAGTGCTAATAATAGGAATAGTAACAATAACCGTAGAAGAGGCCGTAGCTAGCGACTATATAAAGGAGGCCGCGATAGAGGCCGTAGAAGGGGCTCGTATCCCTATAATACTAATCGCTTAACTAATAATAGTAGTAATAGCGGCTATAGCAATCCCCTAACCGGATTGAAATGCTTTAACTATAATAGCACTAGCTATCTACTAGGCTAATACGACAAACCTAAGGATTAGGCCCGAATCGACCGTACTACCGCTAAGCACCGAAAGCACCTCTTAGTAGCTAACGCTACCCCTATAGGCTAACCTTCGAAAAAAGAATAAGCGCCGTACCGACTATTAGCCTAGTATAGCGTAAGACTATCGACATTGTACTAGCTATTATACGCACCTGCCTTATATAAGACACCTAGGGCACTAATTATAAAACTAAGGTTACGCTAGATCTAGGAAATTTAGTTAGTGCCCTTATTAGCTATCGCCTAGCTAAGCAACTAGACCTCCGATAATTAAATAGGGCTAACCTACTAACCCTTGCTTAGTTTAATAACGCTCGGCACTTAACCTATAGGGCCTACTATATTCCTATAGTTCTAAAAGACGACCTCGGCAATAAGCGTTTGTTAGACTTTACTGCCTATATAGTAGATATAGATAGCCTTCTATCCGATATTGTTATTAGTAACCCTATTCTTAAGCACTACGCCGTAGCTATAGACCTAGGTAGCTAATAGTAGCGATTTCGAATCGCTAGGAAAGAGGACATTAAACACATTAATACTAGCAAGTGCTCTAACGATATTAGGGTCCTATTTATTAGCAACCTAATACCTGCCTTAGCTAATCCGATAGCTAACCTTCTCGGTAGAGATAACGATAAACCTGTGCCCCCTAATAGTATAGACCCTAATTAGCTCGCTCGTATACTATAGCCTATTAGAGAGACCTGTATTAATATATTTAAACACTACCTAGTATCGACATTGCCTATATTTAAAGAGACGGACTATAAGATTAATATTATATAGGGCAAAGAGGTCCCCTTTAGGCCCCTCTATAACCTTAGTAAACGCGAGCTTGCTATACTACGTAAGTACCTAGATAAGAACCTAGCTAATAGTCGAATTTAGTATAGCAACAGCCCTGCTAGTATACTAATCCTATTTGTTCCTAAGAAGGATTAGACCCCGCAGTAGTTCGGGTTGGTTTGGTTTGGTTTGCTAAGCCGAAACTCTAGTTTAGTTTAGGTTGGTTTACTAAGCACCTATATAAGTAGCTAGTTCGAACTATATAATTTATCGGTTTTTAAGAAGTATACGAATATGTACGTAGCTTCAAGCAAGCCCTTTATAAGACTTAGTAGTATAGCCGGCAGCGTAGCCGGCATTTTTAGTCCTTAGTACTTATAGAATTTTCGAATCCTACTTAGGCTACGTAGTTGTATAAAGGTACTTATATAACCTTAAATCTATAGACAATCAGCTAAGGGCACTAACTAATCAAAAGCATATACACATATATATAAGGCATTATAGTTTAGTTCGGAAACTGCACTTCTTAGGTATGAATTTCATCCTTTCGTTTACAGTTCAATTCCCTAACTGCTTAGTAGAATATCTTTATCTAGATCTAGGTAGAACTTATCGATTTCCGTCGAAGCTCTCCGTAAGAAGTTTATACACTTTCCTACTAAACTATACTCTAATATTAAGTACTAGGATAGCTCCTCCCTCGATATCGGCACTATATACGAAACAGCTATAAAGCAGCTCTATAGGGCGTTCTACTAGTTACTCGCTATACTACGGCCGAATGCTAGTTCGTTCCTTAGAACTCTAGATTATTTAGCAGATATTAAGGATAGGGTAGGTAGTAACTTCGTATTATATAAGGAAGTAGAGGCTGCTATAGAGGAGTCCTTTAACCTATAGAAGATAGTAAAAGATATAGAGGCAGCTATAGGTCTAGGTACCTAGTTGAATTTCTAGTAGGTAGAGTATAAGGATATTTAGCAGGAGTATTAGGTAGAGTTGCGAAAGCAGGTATATAATATAGTCTAGAGAACAGGGATAATGCCTATAACTATAAGCATTAGGTTCTTCAATCTGCTTCCTTTTTTCCTTGTTTTCTTTTTCTAAAAATCCAAACTAATACAAATTAACTAGAATGTCTATCTTCTTTTAGTTCTTTATAAGACCTAGTAGCGTAGCCGGCAGCGTAGCCGGCAGCGTAGCCGGCCTTTTAACTCCTTAGTACTAACGGGATTTTCGAAGACTTCTATTCCGTACGGCTAATAAAGTACACTATACTATATATACATGCTTAGAGAGTATTTAGAGCGCGGTATATAGCGCCGTATAATAGCGGCTTATTTCGTATATAGAAAAGCTTGTAGATAATACTACGAATATCCTTCCTACTAGAATATCTATCCTACCTAGTACCGTCTCGAATATAGACATTCTAGCCTTTCAGAATCTGATCGAGTGCTTTAAAATCCTTGTCTATAATCGTTATACGCTTCGCGTAGATAGCTATAAGGTTAACCGCTAAAATAGTATTAGTATAGTCCGAAAAGAGGTAGAAGAGAAACATATATTCGAAGATACGAACTAGGTAGGCTTCTATAGCCTCTTAAAGGGCGCCTATCGCGGAGGCTTAGAAGCGAAGGTCCGTTCTATAATCCTAGGCAATTTCGCGAATAAGTCGT